CAACACACTGCGGCCTGGATCACGCTTCGCAGCCGCAGGAGGTGGCGGCGGCACTACGTGCATCATGGGACGCACCGCTGGAGGCGGCGGTGGCACAGGCACCTTGCCACGTGCCACCGGCGGCGGCGTCGTAGGCTCTGCAGGGCGCGGTTTCGCCTTGATCGGCCCTTCCGGTTGATGTGAAGCCGCCGCGGTCTCCTCCTCTTCTGAATCCTCGACGTAGTCCCATTCCACCTCCGCCTCTGGCTCAGCCTCTTCAGCAGCTTCCTCCGCATGGTCTTCCTCCTCGGGTTCAGCCTTTGTATGCCAGTCTCCCCAGGCCCAGGCATCCCAAGAACTGTAGTATTCAACCCATTGTTCTTGTGTCCAAAAGTCCACATCCGCCAATCCTTCCTCCTGATCTTCCTGCGGCTCTTCCTTGACATCTTGATGAACCGATGCACTTGTGGTTGCGATTCCTGAATGTGCTTCACCTTGTTTGTTGTCGACACTTGACACCTTCAAACCTGTATTGTGACATTGTTTGGTGGTGTTATCATGAACCTAACATGCATGCCAAGCACGTCCAAGCACGTCAAAACAATATATATATATATAGATATGTATACTACCTACAGTGAGGCTCCAAGACAATTCAATCCAAGACAGGCTGCTGTGAACACACTCGGATTCAGCGGCAGCAGGATCATCCTCAGGAGTAGGTGACTCCACGAGGTAGGGGTCCGAGGTCACATTCTCAGCAGCACCATGGCCAGCGCTATTGCCACCATTTGTCGCCATGGCAACCGACACGAGAATGGTGCTGGATAATAAAAGTACGCAGTCCCTTCTCTGACCCGGCAGTGTTGAGATTGAATGGAAAGACTGTTGTGCAATTGTTCTCGACAGAATGTCATAAAGCAACTGACATGTCCGAATCGCCTGTGGACGTCTTGAGCCATCCGTTGCTCTGCAAACAACATTCAATACCCACTGACCCTGCTGAAACCTTGGTTTGCACACAACCCTCGTTTAACTTAGGATGAAACATTGGATTAAACATTTCGTTAGCGCCTGACAGTGAGTTCTATATAGCGATGATGCAGCAGTGCAGTAGCGGTGAACCTCTACTTAAACCCATCGAGAGCCTTGGTGTGAGCCTTGGTGTGACCCTTCAGCCTCAGCATGTGACTTCCAACAATGACACACAAACCTGCTATGAAGTAAAAGGAACACGCAACACTTTCAATGAACTCTGACACCAGAACCGACCCCTCGCGAGCAATGACCTGTATGTTATGGTAATTCGGTGACGGTGAAACCCAATATATAAATGAGGCCAACCGAGACCCTGGGTGTGACCTTTGGTTTGGCCCTTGGTTTGACCCTTGGTCAACCCCCCTCGCGAGCAATGCCCTGCGCGCGTGGCGAGATAGGCGTTGCGCCCTCCCTGCCATGCCTCCATCTCTTTCAGTGTCCCCTCCAGCGCATACGATGTGCTCCAATGGCCTGAGAAGGACAAATCGAAATGATGAGAAATCCAAAAGTTGTTGGGAGTGGTGTCACCCATGAAGTCTCAAACTTCTTCTAGAGGGTTCAAAGGAGTTGCAACCATTACAAGACTTGCAACCATCAATCCAATAAAGTAGTCTCAACAGATCCCTATACACAACTTCGAGTCTCTCCAACTTGTGGATTCACAAAACCAACAATCTCCAAATTGTGGATCCACAAATTCTCGAGATTGGAGATATCCAAAAATTGTGGATCCACAAGTTCAACCCTTGCCAACTTGTGGATCCACAAGTTCGTAGAAATGATACCGCTCACGCCACTCACAGATCCACCATGGGGGGCTTTCCCCCGCAGGGTAAACTCTCGCCATTTTTTTCCGGCAACCTTTTGTGAACATAAGCGCGCAAACTCTGAAACCTCAAGAGTTACCAACTTGTGAAGTTCACCAACCGGCAACCTGTCCCTATGTTTCTCAGGTTTGACAACCACACAAAAGCTCCTCCAAACACAAAATGACACACGAATATGGCTGTTCCATATAATCGTATCACAACAGGTTGAACATGCATCTCCAAATACTGCATATACTCGGTGTACATGGCCTTCCACACATACACAAGTCTGTCAGTCTTTCTTCGAACCTATGCAGTCCTGTGAATTCATGTGGACTATACAACTAGCGCATGAATGCTCTCCAAACCAACACCTCAACCCTGTCAATCGTTTAGCTAGCCTTATACATGCCTTCAAAACAACCACTATAAGTACTATATTGCTATATCATGTGGCATGCCCATTGCTGCCTCCCATGCAGTCCTTTTGGCCCACGCACTCTTGCCCTTGCCTCACATCCAAGCCTGCAGCAAACAAGCCGAGAATAAGGTTTTGCAAACTTGATTGAAAATCAGCTCAACCAATTCTCCAGCTGCTACTATACACATACACGACCAAAGGCACTGTTGAAACAAGACTCTGTCACAAGCCGAAACGTTCAACACATGAATTGCATAAAGACTTCCATTGGCTTTGCGAGCGCAAACAGCCCTGCAAAGGCGAGCTTTAAGCCCTGCCCCTCACCAACCCGGACATGCCCACAGACCTTTCGAAGCTTGGGCGAGCTGTGTGCCCTGCCCGGTATATAGTCCCGAAGGTGTGACCTTGCAACAGTGCGTCAAACAAACATCGCCAAACAAACATAGTCGCTGTGTGATGCAAGTGAACTGATAGACCCTATACCCGGCAAGGGTCCCGGCGAGCATATGAATCATACTATATACAAATTAGCACCACCATGTCCGGCTACAAGCACTGTTCAATGAGTTTTCAGCACAGCGTCACCGTTCAGCGCCGCGCTTTGCACATGGCCCTTTGCGTGGGCACCTGAAAATGCATACCACCACTTGCACCACGCTGATCCTCACATGCCACCACACCACCACACCACCACTCACATACCACACATCCTCACTCGATCAACTCGTGATCACACCAGCGCCCACCCTGCGGTCCTTCAACGTGCCTGGGCAGCCTCCGCACGCAGAGGCCGCAGAGGCATCACATGCTCATGGAGCATGTGCCTCTCCCTCTGTCTCTGCAGCCTCTGGTGCTGTGTCTTCAACAGAGCATGACCTGCGTTTCTTCAATCTCCTCTTCCGCCGTGGGGTCTTTGGAGATCCTGCACGCTCTGCCGCTGGCTGTGGCTTTGGCTTGGGCTTGGCGCTCTGTACTGGGCTTTCTCTCAATAGGCACACAACATGGAGCACGATGTTCGAAGAAAGCTCTAGCCACGCATCACCTCGCACCTGCCATAGGACACGAACATCTCTTTCATCACAGCTGAAGCCAGCTGTGGCAACACCTGGAAGCTTCACCACAACACTCTTGCTGACAAGGTAGCGGTCATCATCCCTAGCAGCCCTGCACTTGGCCACTGCCTGACCAGCCGCCTCTTCCAACTGGTGCTTCAAAGCGACGTCACAGGCCTCCCTTCTCAGCTTTCGGAGAGTTTCCCAAAACTCAAGATTGGCTAAAGTCCGAATTGCACCTACTTTCTTGTGTCGGTTGAGCCCTTTCCCCAGCACCACTCGGGTGAGAACAGCATCATGCTTGCTGAGTCTGAAGAACAGGCCACCGTCAGCACCCTGCACTTGTTGTACATCAGGATACCAAATGACATTTCTTCCAATCTTGAGCTGGTGAACCAAGGATATTGTACACGTCATGTCCCCTTCATTGACACCGTCCTCTTCGTCCACTGGCTGGGAGTCCTCTTCTCCAAGCGCTTCGTTTGCAGGTGAGTCGGCCATGGATTCAAACCACAATCAAATGCGCACGGCGCCCTGCGAGCTTTGCCCTGCAGTTCTCACCACCCCACACACTGGCCTGGATCCTTGAGCGAGCAAAGAAGCAACATGTCTACAGTGAAAGCCACAACACGAATGAAGGCAGGGCTATACTACCATGGCTTTGGTGGCTTTAAGCCTATATAGAAACAACACTGGCAGTTCACCATGCGCTCAGTGGGTGGTTGTCCCACTTCAGTCACATGCCTCTATACAGACTGTCAGGCTTCCCGACACAAAGCATCGACTTTCGACCTGGGCACAGGATGGTGTTGGAGTTGTTGGCTGTTGGAGTTGTTGGCATCTATTGCCTGTGACTGGGACTATATAGTTTGTCCTTGACAGAAACCTCGTCAAGCATGAATGACTGTCCCAATCAACGGCCACC